GGGGGGGGTAGTGTGTGGGGATGGTGACTGTGGGGAGGTGGTAGTGTGAGGGAAAGATGACAGGACCGGGAGGTAGTGTGAGTGGAAGGTGACAGTAAGGGGGAGGTAGTGTGTGGGGAAGGTGACAGTAAGGGGAAAGGTAGTGTGTAGAGAAGGTGACAGTAAGGGGGGAAGTAGTGTGTGGGAAAGTTGACAGTGGGGAGGGAGGTAATGAGTGGGGAAGGTGACAGTGGGGGAGAAGTAATGTGTGGGGAAGGTGACAGTAGGGGGAGTAATGTGTGGGGAAGATTACAGGGGGAGGCAGTGTGTGGGGAAGGTGACAGTGGGGGGAGATAGTGTGTGGGGAAGATGCCAGTGGGGGGAGGTAGTGTGTGGGGAAGGTGCCAGTAAGGGGAAAGGTAGTGTGTAGAGAAGGTGACAGTAAGGGGGGAAGTAGTGTGTGGGAAAGTTGACAGTGGGGGGGGAGGTAATGAGTGGGGAAGGTGACAGTGGGGGAGAAGTAATGTGTGGGGAAGGTGACAGTAGGGGGAGTAAGGTGTGGGGAAGATTACAGGGGGAGGCAGTGTGTGGGGAAGGTGACAGTGGGGGGAGATAGTGTGTGGGGAAGGTGACAGTGGGGGGAGGTAGTGTGTGGGGAAGGTGCCAGTGGGGCTTGGGAGGTAGTGTGTGGGGAAGTTGTTGTTTAATTACCAGCCACCAGACCCTGGTGGTACAGTGGTCTATGAGGAACACCTAATACTTGTGCATTAGGTCCCCCCCACCAGATGACGTCAGAGGAGTCAGACCACAACCTAGCACTGAGGGACATCTGCACTGGCATCACATAAGTAATTAAAGGTTTTTTTTTAACCTTTTATGTGCCTGAGATGGGGGGAGGGAGGGCACGAGGTTGGGGGGCACAAGAGGGCATTATAATGTTAGGAATACAACTTTGTATTCCTAACATTATAGATTTTATTTAAGTCATTCTACCTATGCAGCATAATGCACATTCGTAAGCCATTTGCTCACTACTGCTCTCTGCTATGAGAATATTCTACTCATTCCAGTTCTTCTTTAATCCACAATACTTCAGCAGCTTGCTCTTTACAGTTTTCATCTCCCTTTACTCACAAGTCTTTAACAATTAAAAACTACAGGTCTTAAAATAGAAAAGGAATTAATTAATTTCTTAGTCTTTTAAAATATATCATATTATAAAATCTATAGTGTTTAGACAGGGATAATATATAAAAATATTATACAAATTAATGAACCATTATAAATCATAACTCGGCAACATTATAACTGGAATGATCATAAGTATACATTGCTGGACAGGGATTTGTAGGATATGTTTAGACCATATACATTAGAATGAGAGGCTTCTGATTTCATGAGCATCGTTCTGGTCTTGGAGTGGCTCACTGTGGTTAACCTGAGCAGGAACAATAGCAGTATGTGCTGGGATCAAGTGGGTTACCCTTAGAAACTAGATATTTGATCGCTTGTAATCCACACTCACAGTAATTAAAGTAAATAACTGCTTTAAGTAGTAAGTAGAGTAAGGCCTACTCTGGACATTAGGGAGGGCACTACATGATTGGGAATTATGACATGTAGGAGTATTGTTACGGCTGCAATTAGAGTTAAGGGACACTGCAGGGACCATAACGCTTCATCTAATTGATGTGGTGATAGTGTCTGGAGTCCACTGGTACTGTCGTTTCATTCAGTATTAAAACATTTTTAATGTTTTAATGCTAAACCTAAAAGTTGAGTATTTACGAGACCTATCCAGCCAGGTAATATGAAAAATAGAGATATTTATTGAAGATACAAGAAACATTGTACATAAGACAATGGCGCTTCAGTCTCTTTAAAGTAGGCACCTTGGTACCCCACACAGTTCTCCAGCATCTCTTCCGCTGTTCAAAGCACTCTGCAAAATCCTTTGTTGGAATCGCCATCAGCTGCCTTGTCCAATTTACCTGAACCTCATCGACTGTCTGAAATCTCTTCCCTTTTAAAGGTGATTTTACTTTTCAGAAAAGCCAGATGTTGCAGGATACCAAATCTTTCAACATTCTCAACCATCTTTGAAGTGTTTGTGCCACACTTTTATTTGCGCTGCACTCATTGCAGGGTGCCCGAAAGCCTTCTGAATCATCCGAATCCGCGGAGGAATATTCAAGCTTAACTTAAAATTTGATGCAGATTCGTTGCTCTACTCACTCAGTCATTTTGAATGCGGTGGCCATACACAAAGTACACGTGCTCACTCAACAGCATCTAACACTCCCACTGACTAGTACTTGTTCACGCATGCGCATTCCAGTCCATTCTCCTTGGCTGTCAGGTTACATCGGTGTTGGCAATCCGTTTTTGTTATATTAACAATGACTTGTGCAGTATATATATATATATATATATATATATATTTATTTATTTATTTTTACATTTATTTACAATTACTTTATTTTGTATTTTTATGCATTATTTATATAATGTATTAATGAAAAACTGACCACTTCCAGCCTAAGGTTTCCCTTACATAAGGGAAGTCAGTTGTTTATGTATATTATAACATGAAAGTGTTAGCACTATATCTGAATTGTTTTGTTTCTTTGGTGATATGTCAATGGACATATATTCACTAAACACTGAATTGGGGTGAATTGAAACAAAAGTTTGCAATTTGGTTTTCAATTCACCCAAATTCAGAGTTTAATAAATTAACCACTTAGTATTAGTGCCCATGGTAAGACACAGTGGCAGTGACATCTAGTGGTCAATTTTTATTTAACGGAAAGTTCCTTAAATCCAGGATCTCAAACGCTTGTCCTCCAGAAGCTAATGGCACAGAATTTTAATATTTTTTAAATGCAGTAGATGACCAGAGAATCATGATTAGTTCAGCAACATGAGCTGGGAGGGAGGAGTTTAAGATGCCTGCTTTAAATAGAAATGTTATGGTTATTCAGTATATTATTCATGGGAAACCAAGCAATGAGTGTTCTGCCATTTCTGTCTCCTTTAAAAAAATCCATGCCCTGTTCCCTTTGAATGGACACCCAAAACCGGTTTATTTATATGGTAGAGAAAATTACTTACATTGCCATCACCGTAACAGAGACACTACCGGGGAAAAGCAGAAGTGACTTCACGTATCAACGCCGGAAAAAACAGAACTGACTTAACCAGGAAGGCTTTACCTACACAGCACGTCCATAGTAAACCAACACAAACAATTTAAACCCTGGCAGCTGTCCCTGGTATCGATGGTAGCAAAACGTGTAGTTAAATTAAAATCGCAAAAAAATAAATTCACAAGTGTAATTCACAGTGAAGTGCACAGTGCTTAATAAACCTTACGATACTGCCACTATTATAATATTTACCTCAGGCCACTATTAAAGGTATACCATTCTGACTAAAGGTATTAAATTAAAGACTAGATAGTAGTGGCAGGAATAAGAACTAGAATTTCATACATAAGAGTAAGTCAGTCTTAAAGTGACAAAAGTATGAATCCATAGTGACTAAAAGTGCAAAATAATAGATCAAAATGTACAAAAAAGTATTACATTAAAAAAGTAAGCAATTAAATATCCATGAAATAGCCAACTTCTATACACAAGTCTGGAACAAATAGTTTCAAGATCTGGGAAAAGTGTGACAGACCCACACAAGACAAAAATCCACAAAACCTAAAAAAATTAATACAAATAGATTAAATTCTAATTAAATTACATTAGTCATAACCTAGTTCAAGTTTAAACTTTTTGGACAAATAGAGTCCAGTTCCCTGATCCAAAATGCTTTGTGTAACATCATTTTTTTCATTCTATCTTCACCCTGTATGGTTCCAAGTATTTGGTAATATTTTGAAACTTGAGAGATATGTTTAGCAGTCTCAATGTGAGATGCTAAAGGAAAATCCATTACACCTGTATGTATAGTGGACTTATGCTTGGAAAATCTCTATTTCATCCTTTGAGCAGTTTAACCAACATACATGGGACCAGAAGGGCATTTAAGGAGATAGTTGACAAAAGAAGAGCTAGCAGTCACAAAATGTTGGACATTGTATTTTTTGTCTATATTAAAGCGATAGAATACGTCTCCACAAATTACAGCAAATTTGGCATGGAAAATGACTTTTCTTTGTACTGCTCTCCCTAGAGTTCCGTAGTCCTGCTTTAACCAGCCTATCCCTGGTTAAAGGGCATCTTTTGTAAACTGCCATAGGAAGCACCAAAAATTTCTCAATATTTGGATTACAGTTGGACAAAATACTCCAATGTCTCTTAATAACTTTCTGGGAGACTAGTTCCAAAAATGAGAAACAAATGTAATATTTTTTTTACTTCTGTCTAGTTTTATATTAGTTAAAAGATCATTACCCCCCAATGTATACAACATTAGTTGTTGCTCATACCGTTTATATTGAAACACAATCCTTTTACTTCTTGTAAATTTACTTTTTTTAATAAAAATGTAAAAACAAAAGGTGGATGAAAACTACTCAAATCTAAGAATAATTGTTGGTTGGTTTTCTATATAAGATAGCTTGTAAACAACATATTGTTGGAGATCAACATCAAGGTTACCCTGTTTACTGTATAGGTTAGAATAAAAGTCAATGCTTTAGAGAGGATGGAAAGTGCATCTATGGTAATGTCATATTGTCACACTCGATAAATTAACTACAGTATATTCTTCCTTTTTTCTTCTCATGATTCCCCTTTTCCCCTCGAGATGTGGTTTCTCGCCTAAAAATAAGAGAGTGCTATTGTGTGTCTTCAGATCCCAGATCAGAATGTGGTTCGGGAACAATTCTATTTTTGCCTTATTTGTAGGCATGTCGGACTCCGGGTGCTTTAAGCACCCTGATGTTTTGGGGTGCTCCCCTATAAATAAAGCGCCTTTTGCGTTTGTTCAGTGCCATATTGTGGTACACCTGTTTTTCCTTCAGGTGCTATTATATTTCCTGTTAGTGTTTACTGGTATTTTTGATTTGGCTTGTATTTGGACTATTCTGCTTATCTGGTATCCTTGATTCAGCTAATTTTCTCGTTTACCCTGTTTTCTGGCTTCCTGACTCAGCAATTCCTTATCGTTATCCTGATCTCTGGTTTTCCTAGACTTTGGCTTTTTCCTGACTGTTCTCTCACTAACCACGTTAAATCGGACCATTCTTAGGTCCGGTAATACGTTCTGTCTATTTAGGGCTGCATTCTGCGTGTTGGGGTCACTTTGTCGTGACATTTACAGAGCAATCCTATTTACAGTAATGAGGCAGTAATGTATTGTAGAACTGCAGAGCAATACAACTCAGAGCAAAATGTGCAGTCTGTATGAATATCACAGAGCTTCACAATAAATTTCACTGTGTGCTGTGTGAGTATATCATAGAGCTCCAAACTGACACAGTAATAATATAATGTGAGTATAATGGTTTATAAAGGACCAATGAGACCATTGTGGGAACATTTGGCTGGAGCCATGATGTTAATGCAGTTTCTATAGTATGTGGAGATTTTTTTTTCTTGATGTAAACCTTAATTTTTTTGGCATTGCATCCCTTAGCAAACATTGCTTGGAGTTCCTACTTGTATATCTCCTTTCAGAGTTTTTCCCATAACTTTTGCCTTGTAGATTCTGTTTCTTTGTCTGTATTTTCCTGGTTTCTATATTTCTTTTTTTCAGTTTGTTTCTATCCATCATACACCGCATTTGCCTCTGTTCACTGTTCTCACCAGCATTGTTTTGCTCAACTTCCTACTATTTCTGCCATTCTGCAACTCCTCTCTTTCCCCCATTGTTTCTCCACCAGCCCCCTTTACCTAACTTGACTATTTGTATTTAGAGATGGGTGTGCAAGTGTGTAATGGGAACTGTATGTGAATGCGTTTTTGTGTGGGGAGAGTTGCATTTGAAAGTGGGGCTGCTGCATGTGCATAACAGGAGGTGTGTGTAAATGGACAGTAAATGAGTGTGGTGCCTGCGGACGTGTTACTGTGAGTGTGCTGGCAGTTACATGTGTAGTACTGCATAAGTGTTTGCAACTATGATGGCAGTTGTGTGTGTAGAGGGCTTCTTGTGTGTTATAAGAGATGTCTGATTGGCAGCATGTGTGTTGGAAGATGTGTGTGTGAGGTGCATGTCTAAGTGTAAGGAAATTGAATGTGTATTATGGTAATTTGAAAAGGTGCATGTAATGGATGATGTTTGTGAAAGTTGAGTGTGGAAAGACTGCTTTTGTTACTCAGGTAGTCACTCAAGGACACTCACAAGAAACAATCATGCAGACACAAACAGGCATTCACTCATAGGCACACGTACATCCAACTACAGACACATTCACTGATAATTTTAATTTGACCCACTTTATTATTAATGTACAGTATTATGTGTGTACAGTAGGGGACCATATTTCCAGCAATAAAAACAAAAGATGTGTTTTGATGGACGGTCGCATAATCGGAGCAAATCTTTTTTACAGAATCAATGTGAATATTCCACTATTGTACTTTATGGTGTGTGTTTAGTAAATTGAAGTAAGAATAATAATCTACAGACCGAGAAGTGGATTTATGGGTTATATAAAATATCATTTATGTTAGTAGTTAATATTGTGATAAAATAATTTCTTTAGTATTATAATGACTGTTGATAGAACCTTTGTAGTGAAACACTGCTCATTTTCATATATATTAATAATAATAACAGCAAAGTATTTAACCAGGAAATGTACATTAAGATTAAGAAAATGGTCAAGCAATTCATTCTCACTCAACTTCATCCTTTTTAGGTTTACATATGGGTCTTTTGGTGATCAATGTAATCAGAGACTTGACTGTAGTGTTCATTAAATGTATCATAAGCACTGTCCTTCCCCAACATGTGGGTTTTTTCATGTGCCTTGAAAATTGAGTTCTGGGTAAAGGATTTCCCACACTCTCTGCATATATATGGTCTCCCCCCGGTGTGTGATATCTCGTGCATAGTCAGACTAGACAGGCTTTTAAAGGTCTTGTCACAATCCACGCAAGCAAAAGGTTTGTCTCCCTCGTGAGTTCTCTGGTGAATAACTAGGCTTGAACCTCGTGTAAAACTTTTTCCACACTCAGAACAAACATATGGAGTCTCCCTTTTGTGAGTTGTTTGGTGTCTGGTAAGGTAGGTCTTGCGGGTGAAGGACTTCCCACAGTCTGCACATATGTAGCATTTTACACCTTTGTGGACCCTCTGATGTTTACATAAGCTAGAGTTACTGGTGTAGCTCACACCGCATTCCTCACATGTATACAACCTAAATCCTTTATGCGTTTTCTTGTGTTTAACAAGCCGTACGCCTCGTGCAAAACTCTTTCCACATTCTTCACACACGTAAGGCCTCTCATTTGTGTGGATTCTTTGGTGAACCACCAATGTGGAGCGATCTCTAAAGCTTTTCCCACATTCTATGCAGGTGTAAGGCCGCTCACCTGTGTGACTTTTGTAGTGCGTCACCAGAGCAGAACAGCAGTTGAAGCTTTTTCCACATTCTGTACAATCATATGGCTTTTCACCAGTGTGCGTCCTTTGATGTATTACCAAGTTAGAGCTCCGAGTATAACTTTTCCCACATTCTGTACAGGTGTATGGTTTTTCCCCTCTATGGTCTCTTTTATGTCTAGCCAAGGTTGAACTATGATTAAAACATTTGCCACACTCCAGACACAGATACAACTTCTGTGTTTTTTCCTGTGTTGATGTTTTCGCTCCCTCCTGGACAGTACGGTCTTTTCTGCAGCCAGCTTGTGTGACACTGTCTTTTTCTAAACCAAGCTTTGTAGACTTGGGTTTGGGGAAATTATGATTTTGTGGAATCTCTGTTTCATTGTCCAAAGAACAATCGTCTTCCTTTACTTTTTCAGATGATCCTGTGTCAGAAAGTACTTTTTGGCTTGTGTCAATCCAGTCTGTCTTGATTTTAGAAGATGAAGATTTGTCTTTATCTACCATATTCTGGTCTGGAAGGTCTTCGTTCATACATCCATTAAAGAACTTATCTGCAATAAAAAAGATCAGTTAATTATACAATGTTTAAATGTTGAATAGAAAATCTAATTTTATTAAAGGACACGGAGGCTCTTATTAGGCTTATCTCTTTCTTTTATTCCTCAGCAGCAAAGAAAGCTAAGGTATTTATAATATAGGGAAAAAATGAACAAAATACCCTCACAGGGTTAAACCATTACATCACTATATCCTATCCAATAGGAACAGTCCACATATCATATAGTCCCATGTGACCCCCATCTCTTCCTCTTTCTTTGCTGCTGCCTCAGCTAAGTACCACCATTTTATCACTCTGACATGACTTACTGTCTGTATTTATATTTGCATGTTTTGTTTAAATTCTGCTTGTTAGATATAATGCTTAATTTCTTTATCACTTTTTAGTGCTTTATTGTTTTTACTGTGCTAACCCCTTCAGGGGAACCACCTAGGGGGAGCGGCTGCTGACTGCGCTCCCCATCCCCCCCGAGTTTGTCCCGCCCGCTAGGGCGGTTAACCCGTTCTTCCCCCTCACATTCCAGGTAGTTTATTACCCAAAGTCACGCGGATCGCGGTAGCCGGCCGCCCAGATGTGGGACACCCTCTCGGGAATCGTCAGTTCACTCTGGGCCCGGTCCACGGTCGGGTGCCGCTCGCGTATGCGCAGTCGCGGCTGCGCATCGGGGCGGCCATATTGTGTGGCCAAAATTTGCCACGCTTTTTTCCCGGCTCGCACAGCCCACTGAAGGGCGGGCGTGAGCTGATTGGGCCAGACAACTGTCTGTCAGCTTGCCAGTGCACCCCAGCGGCCATTCCTGTTCTGTGCCTTGCCTGCAATATTCTGCCTATCACTGCATGCCTCCAAAACAGTTTTTACAGACAGGTTGCATCCTGTCAACATTGAGGTTGTGGGGCCCCCACAAAAAAGAGCCACCCGCCGGGCAAAAAAGGCGCAGACATGGAGAAGGGCAAAAGCCTTATCAGACTCATCCGACTTGGATTCGGATTCGGAGGAGGCCTTGAACGAGCCCGATGACATCGGCTCCACTGAATCAGAGGTTTCCTCCATGGGCCACAGCCCAACACGCAAAACAGCCATACCCACTATAGACAACGCAGATACATCCGCTATCCTGGACCCACAAGGGGAACCCCTATTTGATCCCGATGAGTTCCCGATGGTTCCTTTCCGGGGACCCTGGGTCATACCAGCTGTTTCACAGGACACTCTCGACCTACTGGCAGGGGCATGGGCACCTGGAACGAGATGATCCTACCTATATGCCTGGAACGGATGGTGTAGTTGGTGCATGGAACAGGTGGATCCCGTAGGTGCTCCTCTGACCTACCTGTTATGTTTCCTTACCAATCTATATAACCAAGGACTGGCCTACCATACCATTAACGTCTACAGATCGGCTATCTCTGCCAGCCATCGAGGACTAGAGGGGACTCCGGCTGGCCAACAACTGCTGGTGTGCCAGCTCCTACGAGGCATAAAATTTGCTTGACCACCCTAGCCTCGATACACGACGGTGTGGGATGTGAACCTAGTCCTTCGTTTGTTAGAATCATGGCCACAAAATGAGGGACTCACACTTGAACAACTATCGGCAAAACTGGCCATGCTACTTTCCCTGATATCCTGCAAACGGGTCTCAGATGTCCGGGCATTAGACATAGATGCACAATCTTTCACACCCACGGGAGTGTCATTCAACATTTCCAGACGAACTAAATCATCGACTACCTCGGTTTCCTATCCGGCATTCCCACATAATGTCAATTTCTGTCAGGTAGCTTGCCTACAAGAATACGAAAAACGAACCCGGGAATTCAGGAGTCCAGTACATCAAGAATTGTTTTTAGCCACCAAAATGCCTCATTACCCGGTATCAACAATAACGCTAGTCCGGTGGATGAAATGGATAATGACCTTGGCGAACGTGGATACATCTATATATGGTGCTCACGCTACTAGAGGAGCCATGGCGTCAAAGATTTTCAATTTGGGCTGTAGATTGGAAGACCTTCTCAGAACGGCGGATTGGTCCCGTTAATCTACGTTTAGAGAATACTATTTTAGACCTACAGAACATGTTTCATCTACGGTTATTTTTTCACAGCTGTAAACTAGCCTAATAAGAGCCTCCCTGTCCTTTAATAAAATTACCAGATTTTACTTATTACATGACGTAAAGTCATGATTTTATTAAGGACACGGAAGCGAGTATTAGCCTACCCAGATATGGTAAGTTTGGACTTTTTGTATCCCAACCCAGATATGTGAAAAGTTGTTCATAGTACATGATGGAGTCTCTGTTGCTTAATGCCTGACTCTTAAAAATTTCAACAGTTACCATAGAAATGTGTGATTCAGATAGCAAAGGATTATATTTAGGATGGTTTAATACTATGATAATATGAAAATAGTTGGGAGAACATATTTTACCATTTGTTCTCTCTGTCCCCCTCTAGCCTGAAAGTTATGACATCATGACAACATCGACATCTTCCACAGTTCGAGAGGATCGGTTCCGAAAATCCATCTCTCTCTAGGAAGGATCATTCGCCAAGATTTTCGGTTACCTGCACGTTTTCTGATGTTTCAGTTGATTGGTTAATTGCTGTTATTAAATATTAGCTTCTGCATCAACAGGAAAGAGGAAGAGATGGGGGTCAAATGGGACTATATGTTATGTGGACTGTTCCTATTGGATAGGATATAGTGATGCAATGGTTTAACCCAGTGAGGGTATTTTGTTCATTTTTTCTATATTATAAATACCTTCGCTTTCTTTGCTGCTGAGGAATAAAAGAAAGTGATAAGCCTAATCAGAGCCTCCGTGTCCTTAATAAAATCATGACTTTACGTCATGTAATTAGTCAAATCTGGTAATTTTCATCTAAAGTTTTGGAAATATTGGGTTTTTTTTGTCTAGTAAACCACTGCCGCTACTTTCTATCTAGTCGTGGGCACTCATCCAGTCTGAACACAACTGCAGGGACGTAGTGAAGAGCAATTAATGTAGTGAAGCTCCAATAATAAAACAGACAGTGAAGATGTTATTCAACAGACAAGCCCACTGCAAGTCATTTTCACTGGGCGCCTCTTTACACTATGCAACAAAGAAGCACAGATTATGGACTTTTTTTGTTACAAGTTACAATATTTATATGAATGAAGTGGACAAAGATTCCAGGTACTGGGGAGTCTTTGCTATGATATTAAAAGAGAGAAGGATCAAACTTAAGGTAAACCAGGAGGACATGGATGCTGATCTTGCTAATGCCAAGATCCCAGCATGGGTTCACTCAACCAGAGAAGAACAAGATATTTTGAGTCACCCAAGCCATCAGCAACATGATAACCTTTAAGAACATATTGCAAGCCTGGCTGGAGGAGCAAGGACATCTCCCCAGGATAAGGTTAATAAATCTGCATTTTCGGTATTGAAGGCCTGCAGATAATCTTGTCCAGGTCTTGTACTATAAGCATAGGCAGATACATTTCATATTAAATAACTTGCCCTCCATCACGTTCAGGAAAAAACAGAAAGCAGCTGTTGGAATTTAACAGGTAAGTACACATTTTAACAAAAATAACAATAGCAGATCTCTACATAACACTATGTTTTAGCTTGCTCTATTGGTGTCTAAAATTACCTACCTTCAAGCCAAGGCTTCCTTTTGCATAATAGGATGCTTGTGTCTGAATTCCACAGGAAATGTATTTGACCATTGACTAACATGAAAAATCTATAAATGTTAGACGAACACAGCTGATCAATTATAATTATAAAGAATATTCTAACATTATAAATTACCCCAACATTTTTAAAGCATTGGGGGCAAATGCCTTGTTCTGCCAATCTGATACATTTCATAGAGAAGAACTGAATCTAGTGGCTCTCTATGAGAGGCACTGGACGCATTCAGGGTCATCGTGCTGTGCATTTGAGACACAGGATGCATGTATAGCAATCACAGCACTCTGCCAATTCAATGCTTCTCATGCTGTGTGTGATGACACTGAACTAGCAGACCTTTGCCTCCTTACTACAGGGGCAATTGGCAACTAGAGTGATATTCTAAAAGCATTATCAAAGAATCAAAGTAGTATCCATTTTTTTTTTTATTTCCTTCACATTCATTAACATTATTTCTCACAATAGGTTTCATTACAGTTTACCATATGCTACTACAAAGGTCTGTTTACACTTGGGGGAAAAAAAACTGTTAATGTGGTGTCTGATCAATTTGAAGTTTGACTTTATAACATGATATGTAACCCATCCTCAAATTCACCACTACAAGTAATTTATTAATCTGCCAACTGGAAGCTTTGATGATATGGTGTGTGCTGAGGTGGTCTACAGTACTAAAGTGAGGCAGTCACCATGGAAACCAATGTAACCAGCAGAACATTCTATTGCCAACTCTGTCCTTTTTCCATGTTTGCACCACTTTTTGGAACAGACACTTTTTATATATTAGGTTTTCTTTGAATCCATCTTATAACTGACGTGGCACAAGTACTGCTACTAACTTTAAATGCAAGTATAATATGGTCAGTAGGGGCTGATAAAATGCATTATGCAAAACGCCAAAGCAAATAATCCTATTATGAGTGCTACACAGTGAGGTGAAGAAGAATTCTATTTTCAGTGATATCTGCAACACATGCATATCAGTGGGAAATTGTGTCTGCAAAGTTTCACACACAACAAATTAAGCTCAGTGTGCTGTATAAGCACTCAGTGGTTTAGAAGAGGAGCCCACTACCACAGCCCCCTCCCACCCACCCAAATAATCCTACCTGCAACCCTGCAGCCTTTGTGTCTGTCTCTGGGGGCTGTACACTAATCAGGCCAATAGAAGAATCCCCAGTGAGCTGTAGCCGAAATGCATGGTGGGACAAGTGGTCCGTCTCTGTATGCGCACTGAAGGATAACGTGCGAAAAGAACTACAAATCCCGTCAGCCGATGCGACTAAAACGTTGACCAGACGCAACTAACCAATCAGCGCCAAGATCTAAAACGAGGCGTGGAATACACGTGCGGCTCAAACTGTTCTTTCAGTAATAGTAAAGAAAGCAGCCCTGAGTTTCTTAGAGTCCAGTATTATGACTGTGACTGTCATAGCTATTTCTGCTTTCACAAACATGTTTAAGGATAATAGATGTTACCCTGCACCCCCATGGTGGTTAACAATGTTATTATAATTTCTACTGTAATAAACCTGATTTGTTATTTAACATTGACCAACAGTGGTGTTTATGACAATTTTACAAATGTTTGCATTACAAGATTAAAAACAAAAAAAAACAAAAGTGTGTTCCTAGGTGCTCTTCTTTCAGTACACAATCCTTGATTCAGAGCTTAGTATATGGTTTGGTGCAGGGACCTGAAACTCTGTCTCTCTCTGTTGATGGCCTATAACTCTCAATTATTTGAATGCCTTGTATGACCAAAGAAGAATAGGTGTTGAAGTTCAGCAACGGGCTAAAGTTTGAGATGCCTGTTTACTGTATCTCAAGTGATAATATTGCACTAGACTAGAGGATATTATCAAAGCAATAATTTTTCAGTCTACAGGGCCTAACTGTGCTTATGAATTCAAATAGTAGAACTGTAAAACAGTGAGAAAAGTTAATTTGTATATGCAAAATTATATTAAACAAACAAACAAATTTTGTCATTCACTGCACAGAACATAAGTATAGTCTAGTTATGTGGTAGGTTTATTTTAAAATAATTTTACAAACATTATTTCTATTTACATTATTAGACTGGGCTCAACATTTCCAGTGCTTCTAGACTTGTGCACAAATGATATTCAGTTACTTTTAATTGATCTAATTCCTTTCATTATAAGCCCAAATGAATCAACCCATCTCATTCATTGAAGAATATGTCTATAGTAGCTATTAGCAAGTGCAATTCAACCCTGGCTTGCAGTGGCTTGTAATTTTTAGGCCTGACTATTAGTTTCGGACTTGAACTGTTGACCAGTTATATCCGATATATATACATTGTTTTGCTATACAACTGCACCGTTTCTAGTAACTAATTTTTGTAATGCAAGCATCCGCATTAGATTCCCTTTGTGATGAAGGAGGAGGCAGAGGCAGAAACGGAGCCAGCAACAAGGGCTCTTGTCACTGATAACAGGTAAGTGGTGAGAGTGTTTTTAACCCTATCATTGAAGTGTTAGTTAAAAGATGTATTCCCTCTGGTGACTTTCTGTCTGATAGCCACTGGGGGCATGTTCTTTGTTTACCAAATGTAAACATTGCCATTTTTTAGGTCAATTCTTTTACATTGCCAGGTAAAAAGAACAGCATATGCGCACCAAATCCACTACATTAAGATACAACAGTTTTGGTGCTTACAATGACACTTCAGTCACCAAAACAACGTTATCTTAATAAAGCAGCTTTGGTGTATAGATCATGCCCTTGCATTCTCACTTCTCAGCCATTTAGTGGTTAATTCACGTTGTTTATACAGCCCTAGTCACACCTACACAGGCTTCCTAAACACTTCCTGTAAAGAGACATCTAATGTTTAAACTTCCTGTGTAGCATAGTCTTTAATTTATACTTTCTTATTTTCTTCACTGTTAGTAGCTTGCTATACCTTGCAGGAGCCTCCAGTGTGTGATTAAATTTTACTTTTCCTGACATTATTCATGGCAGCATTTACTCATGGGTTAGCTCCTCCCCTCACAGCAGAAAGGACAGGAAATAGAACTCTGAAACTGGTATAAATAGATCCTCCCCCTTCCCATCAGGCAGTCTTTTTTCCTGTCCTTCACAGCAGTTTGGAAGGAGTCTGCTTATGCAGGCCTAGATTTTCTTTTATGCTCATATGATCCAGGTAAGTTTTTGATACTTAGTATTGCAAGTATTTTAATTGACACTGGAAGGTCTTTCTAGTCCCCAGGCCATTCTACCAGGTTTACTATTTCAAGTAAAATTCACCTGCTATCAGAACAAGAGAGGAAATCCCTTAACAGGTAACTCCATTACGGTCCTCTCTTCTGATATTCATGGGGATTCTTCTAGTGGTCCTTATATCTGGAATTTGCAACCGAGGTATGGCTTTAAGTGGTTGATTCATCCTACATAATATAATGTAATGCAGCTTGTTGATGACAAACAGTTGACTGATATGTTTTTCATGGTCTCTGTACCTAGATCGGTATAAGTTATGGTCACTCCTAACATTGCATTGATTTAATACTTATGGATTATATACTTGTATTGGTGTTGATATCTTGCAGATAATACAAACTGCTTATTATTGCCATAAGCTCTGCCATAGTACTTCTTCGCTATCTGAAGATAAGGTAAGAGTAAGTATGCGGTTGTTTGTTCTCATAAGGATAACTGAATATCTTCCACTATCCTGATTATGTGTCGGTTGCCACAATGGATCATGTGCCTCTGGTTACCACCTTCTCATCAGTATCCTGCCGATTACATATCTCCTACTTATGTTACACAACGGTCTCTAATAAATTTGATTATACTGTTTGGCATAATCTGTACTATTTACAATGTTTCTTTGAATGTAGGTACTGACGTGATTGTCCTACTTATAATTTAGGAGTTTCCACAAATTCCACGGTTCATACCGATGTCTCTTTTCTTTCTTTAACTAATCTGTATATGACTCTTAATGCCCTTGCCTAGTAATGTCATTGGTTTATACCTCTCCTGTGCCTGATCATTATTGTATCAATTCATCCACGGTGTGAGGTATTGTTGTGAGTCTGATTTTTGCAATATATATGTGTATATATATTCATTATTGCAGTGTTTTAATAACACTTATTTCTCTACTAGGCTCTGCCTCTTTCTGACAGGCAGGTATTGATTTATTTCCTGTATCCACAGGTAAGTAATTCACAAGGCAAGAGGAAGCAGTGTGAATCGTCATTAATAATTACATCCAGAGAGTTGTAGGATTCTCAGTGTAATTCTCGCCATGTTTAATAGCATGGTGTGTCTGTTCTCATCCAACCTTCTGTTATGCCTTTTTGTCAAGGTTCTGATCTGATAAGGTCATCAATTTGGTTTTAAATTTTATATCAAAATGGCATTATCCTTATCTGACTTATGATATCATGGCCTTAATTCCTATCTGACTATATTTAGGATATTTCAGATATTGAATGCCAGGAGGTTGCTGACCTTGCAGCCTCTAGGTTAATTAACTTGTCTGGGCAGAATGTATGACAACATCCTATTGATGTCTTGTTTGGCTTTTTTTTGTCTTCTAAGGTTTATGCAGCTCAATAATGGTTTTATAGCTATTGGCTGTTTTTGAACTCTGTCCCTCCCTCGATATATACTGCTTGGGTATTCCCCATGAGTAAATGCTGCCATGAATAATGTCAGGAAAAAAGGAAAATTTGCTTCATACTTACCGTAATTTTCTTTTTCTGATCATTATTCATGGCAGCATTACGTTTCCACCCATATACTATAAGATGTGAAGCTAGTTACTAAGACTGCCTGATGGGAAGGGGGAGGATCTATTTATACCAGTTTCAGAGTTCTATTTCCTGTCCTTTCTGCTGTGAGGGGAGGAGCTAACCCATGAGTAAATGCTGCCATGAATAATGATCAGAAAAAGAAAATTACGGTAAGTATGAAGCAAATTTTCCTTTTTACAGAGCAAAAGATAAAAACGAAAAAAGCTAACATCTGACTGAAAATGAAACCTTTTTTTTTCATGCAGGCTGTGTCGGTCAAAGACAAGGGAGGTGTGGCTATGGGTGTATAAAGAGAAACAAAAGTGATTTAACTCCTAAATGGCAGAGAACACAGAGCTCTCGGATTGATTGGTTGGTTTAAACCAACCAGAGTGTTAGTTATTTTATACAGCGTGCAAAAGTTCTTTGGAATTTTCCCACGATGTAAAAAATTACTCAGAGCACTCTGATTGGTTGGCTTAAACCAACCAATCATTGTGCTCTGAGCCTAATTGCAGAGCGTGGTAAGGCTTTATAAGCCTTGACCCGCCCTGCAGAGCTCAGTATGCGGCGTGCCCTCGAAGGGTGAAGATGGATTTATTTATTTTTTGCGTTCGTGTTTTTTTGGGGGGGGCGTTCGAAGGCATTTATGGCTTTTTATTTGGCCTTTTTTTGGGGCTGAAGAAAGAAGATATTAGAAAAAAGAAGACATCTAATGGTAAGTTTATTTTTTTTTTTCTTTACAGGTATTTAGCTTCATTGTCCGTCCCCCCCTCACTATTATTAGGATGAGGGGGTAGGTAGGGATTTATTTTATTGGGGGAATGGGGGTGACTAGAGGCTCGGGGATCCTTAGTCACTGAAATGGGGGGATTTTAAACTTCGCCCCCACCAGCCACTCGAGGGGGAAACAATAGATTCCCCAACTCTTATTGTTGTTAATGGCCCCCACCTGCCGCTCAGGGTTTCCCCCCTCTTATTGTTAAGGGCCCCCACCCGCCGCTCAGGGGTGTGGGCCAAGGGAGGAGGCAATAGGTCTCCCCCATCTTACTTTTAAGGGCCCCTACCTGCCGCTCAGGGGTGGAGGCAATAGTCCCCCCCCCTCTTATTGCTAAGGGCCCCCACCGCCACTCAGGGGTGGGGGCTAAGGGGGGGAGGACTCGGCACAGGTGGAGGCTGGGGGGACAATTGTGGTTTTTTTTGGGGGGGGGTTTAACAGTGAGCAGCCACAGGCTGCTCACTGTTTATTTGACATGCCCCTACTCGCGTTATAACGAGTAGGGGCATATTATTTACTAATAATAAGTAATCTTTACTTAGTATTAGTAAAGTTGGCTGAAAGACCAATTTAGGTCTTTCAGCCTTTTGGAAGATAA